AATACACTTGTCATGGGGGTGCTTAAACCTGGTTCTGGCTAGGGGGAACTTACAATTTTGTGAGGGAAGATTACACATGGTTAATGCCAGTATATCAGCCTAGGTGACTTGGAAAAAAAAGTGATTGATTGAGACATTTCTGTCACTGGCTTGGTGGGGCAAAGTAGGGAAGAGAGAAGATGAGACGGTTTCAAAATGTTGGACAGAAGGTCATATGGGCCCTTAAAAAGTGGACAAAACCTACTCACAAGGATGTCAGCCAGACTCTGATCCTAGTCTAGATTTCCTTGACTCACTCTTCAAAACCAGCTTAAGCTATTGTAAATTCAGTAATTAGATAGATTTTTTTTTCCTCTAGATCCTTGTGCAAGGTCCATATTTACTCTCATTTTTATCTTCCTGCTTTTCATTCTATTATTCCCTAGAAATAAAGAGCATATCTGTATCTTGGAGGAAATTTTAGCTCTATGGATTGTGCCATGACCAAAAACATATGTTATTTTGAATAGAGTAAATTGATTCCAAATTTCTTAAGAATATGAAAATCATTACAAAAGCATAACATTCCAGTCTAAAACTTGTTGCAACAGATATGCACCTAGCCGTGTTAGAATAATGTTAATTTTCTCCATCAATGAACATCTTTCGATTATTTAGTGGAAATGAGAGTATAATATAGAGCAAGTGTGTTAGTACACAGCACTCGTTCATGAATATACGATGATGTTGTATTTTAGAGGAAGAAAGAACTTTAATTTTAGCTTATTTCTGCAAGAGTATCTTGAGTTTTTACTATATCAAATAGGTGGAAAATAGGCCTCAGATTTATAAGATCAAAATATGATCAACTTGCTCTTCAAGATTTTACAGTGCTGTAGTGGAGACTGAAGCATGAATATATAGCATAATAAATGTAAATGATGTCAGGTAAAGAAAATGCTACAGGGTCATGAAAAAGTTGGGAGGCCAGGGAAGGTTGCAGAACTGTGATGGCATTTCAGGGCACAATTATAGGGTGTACAGGATTTCATTGGACAGAGTGAGAGGAAGAAAGATGGGGAAGGAATTCAGGTTTTGGGAATAGAGATATAAAAAGGAAAGAAAAACCCAGGGAGTAATGGAGGATGTGTTTTAGAAAGAGTAAGTACTCTAGTGTGGCTTCGCCATGGAGCACTTGAAGAAAGTGACAGGAGGAGAGTTTGGAAAGGTGGTTGGAGCCAAAGTCTCCTTGTCTGCAGTTTTAATAAAGGTGTCTGTTTTTAAGCATGTAAGAGGCACTGAAGGGCTAAAGCAATAGAGCATAATGGTAATGTTTACAGTTTGAAAGTGGATTAATACAGAAATGGTTTTAAGATTTCACCTAGGGACTGCTTAAAAAGACAGATTCCTGGGCCCCATATAAAACTACCATGTAAGAATCTCTGAAGAACATGGCCCAGGAATGGGTGTTCTATAAATACCTAAGATGCATTTTCTTTCCTGCTTTATTGAAATATAATTGGCATATAACGTGTAAATTTAAGCTGTATAGCATGATGGCTTGATATATTTATATATTTCAAAATGATTACTACGATAGGATGAACACCTCCATCACCTTACATAATTCCCTTTTTTTTTTTTTTTTTTGGTCTGTGGTGGGAACATGTAAGAACTACTCTTTTAGCAACTTTATACACATAATACAGTATTATTAATTATAATCATCATACTATATATTAGATCCCACCACTTATTTATCTTATAACTGGAGGTCTATATCCTTTGGCCAACATCTCCCCGTTTCTCGCACTCTCAGACTTTGGCAACCACCTTTCTACTCTCTGTTTCTACAAGTTTGACTTTTTTGGATTCCACATATAAATGAGATGATATAGTATTTTTTTCCTCTGTCTGACTTATTTCACTTACCATAATGTTCTCATAGCATTTGCCATGTTGTTGCAAAAGGAAGAATTTCCTTCTTTTTTGTGGCTGAATAATATTTCACTGTATGCATATACCACGTTTTCTTCATTCATTCATTCATTCATTCATTCACTGATAGACACTTAAGAGGTTGCCATGTCTCATTCCTTGTGGACAATGCTGCAATGAACAGGGGGGTGCAGATAGCTCTTTAAGATAATGACTTCATTTCCTTCCTGTGTATGCCCGTCTGGTGATCCCTTATGCTGCCAGAATGTCTGAAGACCTATGTTTATATTTATATTTATTTTAAGATCAGTAGCAGTGCTGATGGGGAAGAGGACTGATCAGGGGCTGCTTCTGAAACAGAAGCATTGGTAGAATGTTGGAGACCCTTTGGACAGAGAGGCGAAGAAAGAATCAGATGACTTGAAGATACCGCTCTGGGGCACAATATTACTAGTGATGCTGAGAACCGGAGGGAACACGGAGGGAGTAGGAGGCGGAGAGCTGGTTGCCTGCATCTGAGGAGGTTGATTAGAGGGGTTGCCAGAGGCAATAACGAATTTAGTTTCCGGTATCCAATCCCATTTCCCTATTTTACCAATGAGGAAAGCTGAGGCTCAGAATGGTACGGTGACTAATCTGAGGTCACAGAGCTGGTTGGTTAGTAGTGGAGTGGTAAATGAATGTGCCCAGTTTAACAGAAAACCCAACACACTTCCTCCTCTTGTTTCTATGCCTGTGTAGAAGATTCACAGCTTGATTATGTGCACTGAGAACATCTATAGAGTATTAATTACCAAGTGAAAATCCATTAAATAAACATTATGACTGTATTGCTTGCGTATATTTTTAGATGAGTCTGTGACACCAAATGGACCATTTAAGGCCGTTGGGACAGAGGGCCAAGCATTAATTTACTAGGAATATTTTAACTCTCAAAGCAGGAAAGCAGCGAGGGATCTAGTAGGTCAGCCAAAACAAATTCATGCACATAAAACATGCCTGACATACAATAATAAGCACAGGTGAGAAAACGTAGTCTTACGAAGAGGAATACATTTGTCTAAGGCTGCACTGGTAACCAGTGATTAAAATGAAGACCGGTGTCTTCTGACCATTTAATTTACTGCCTTCTGCAGCAAGGTTTTCCAAATTATTACTGCAGCCATCGTATTAACTTTTGTGGTTCAGTTGATTGCTTTGTCATTTAACTTTCCTGGAAGCTGAACATTGAATCATGAGTCACATCGACAGGGCTGTGGATGTGTGTGTAGAATCTAAGAGAAGAGAGAACCTACCTGCTGAATTGGATCATTTTTAGTGCAAGCATCCAGTATGACACTTCTTAGTTTAGCAGTTCAAGGGCAAAAAATTATGTATTTCCAGCACAAAGTACAGAGCCTGGACCGTATTAGCTATCCAGTAAATGTATGTTCAATGAGTGATCTAACCCCACAGGGAATTTTTGAACTATGGTCTTTTTTTTTTTTTTTTTAAGTAAGTTACCTATGATACTCTCCTCAGGTCTCTACATTGGCCATTCGTAGGGATTCATGAAAAGTCACATGGTTCTCATTCTTTTAATAAAAAACAGCAGAGAGAGAGCTATCAGCTGACAAAGGAAGGATAAAATGTGAGTGCTAGATATGCCCTTTTCTGAATGTGACCTCTTATCAGATCACCGGAAATATAAACTTTTCAAGTCCACCAGCCCAGTGACCTCAGTGTACAAAGATCACTTTTTTCTCTTTGTTTCTGATCTGGCACACATACCCTCATGAACTCAAACACATACACACATACATACAGATTTTCCTTTTTGAATTCCTATAAAGGTGTTAAGCCTATACATTGTTTTTTTGCATTAGTCTTAAAAATGACCCTTTGCCATATATTTTAAATGTAAAAATCTTTCTTCTTCAGGACCTCCTTACTCTACTATGAAAATCTCTGGACAAGCAGATTATTGAATAACCCATGACTTTGCTTTTCATCTGATTAGTTCCCTGAAAGGGATCATAAGACAACTGTGCAAAGCCTAGAGGCCTTCAGAGTCCCAAATGATCACAGAAGCCTTTTTTTCCCCTCTCTTCCTGAAATGTCATGGCCACCCTGAGCAGTATCAAAGGAGATCACTGTTTGCATTAGGAACTAAAAAAAGAAAGAAAATAAAAGAAATTTAAAACTCATCTGGGAGAAATGAAAGTTCATCTGTGGGTTGTGTGTCATATGAAGAGTATTATACCACTTTCTTTCATTGACTAGACAACTATGGGGAAGAGAACAAAGCTTCTGTGGTGAAACCCATGTAAGGAATATTTTAGGATCATCATGTGCTGGCCCCTACCGAATGCTCTTCTTTCCAGTGATACATGCATGAGCACACAGGCTCACACACTATAGGACCATTAGGGTGGAACCCTTGACCTGCATCCATTTTCACTAGTGCTATGGATCATTTCCTCTTCAAATCTGCAATGCTAATGCCCATGTGAATATCACAACCTAAAAAAGAGTTTTTTAACTTGAATTAAAACTCACCATCACAACATCTTGTACTCAGAGTTAAATGTAAAGTGTTTTTAAAATTGTTGCCCTATTTGTCCTTAGATATAGGCCAGTTCCGGCGTTTTATTCTTTTTGAGAGAAGTTGGCTTATTATACACAACTCGCTTTATTTTAATTTGTATAACTTTATAAGACTCTTCACATGAATAAATTACCAAATCAGAATAAAAGGCCTTTGGCCATACACTTCTGGAGTTTGGGGTTCAAAAAATATAAACCCACCCTTCATTAGCTCCTGTCTTCAGCTACTGCTAGTAGATAGAGTTACAACCAATAAGATTCATTCCATTTTGTTAATTAGCTGAAATCCCAGTCAATTTTGGTCATAAATTCTGCTCTGGAACTCTGGTTTCACTACCTACATCATACTGATTGTGTACTTAGCTCACTCTTTAAAGATAAGTACTGAAGCACTTTAGTGAGGGATCTGCTCGCACTGGACACCTTGAGAGGTTCCAGTATATGATTCAGTTTACAATTGTAATGAGTTTTTGATTTCTCTTTCTTTTTGGTGATAGGTCAAGAAAGATTTGGAAATATGACAAGGGTCTATTACAGAGAAGCTATGGGCGCATTTATTGTCTTCGATGTCACCAGGCCAGCTACATTTGAAGCAGTGACAAAGTGGAAAAATGATTTGGACTCAAAGTTAAGTCTTCCTAATGGCAAACCAGTTTCAGTGGTTTTGTTGGCCAACAAATGTGACCAGGGGAAGGATGTGCTCACGAACAATGGCCTCAAGATGGACCAGTTCTGCAAGGAGCATGGTTTCGTAGGATGGTTTGAAACATCAGCCAAGGTAATGTGACCTTAAAGGAGAAACCTATTAGGCAACATTCACAAAGACAATAATCATATAATCATTATCATCATCATAATGATGATAATATGTGTTTGTTTAGTGATTTGTATTTCCCAGATTGTTTTAAGCTCTTTCTCATCTCAAGAGGATGAGTTGGCAGGGCAGAAATTACTATCCACAATTTAAGATGATTTTGGCAGGGGCACCTGGGTGGCTCAGTTGGTTAAGTGTCCGACTTCAGTTCAGGTCATGATCTTGCAGTCTGTGAGTTCGAGCCCCGTATCGGGCTCTGTGCTGACAGCTCAGAACCTGGAGCCTGCTTCAGATTCTGTGTCTCCCTCTCTCTCTGCCCCTCCCTCACTCCCCACTCTCATTCTGTCTCCCTCAAAAATAAATAAACCTTAAAAATTTTTTTAAAAAGATGATTTTGGCTAAGAGAGCAAAAAGCAACTTGTACATGGTCACAGTAATAATAGTTAATAACTTTGTTTAGTGAGTGCTTATTATATGTCAGGCATGTTTTATGTGCATTTTCTCATTTAGTCCTCAATAACAACCCTGTTAGGTAAGTATGATTTTAGAGTAAATGAAAGAAATGGGCCTTGCATTCAGTGTCACTGCCTTATCCATGTATTAATTAATTTATTCCATCAATATTTAATATGTTCTTCTGTATGCCAGGCATGGTGCTTTGCCCTAGAAATGAAAAGATGGCAGGAACGCAGAACTACCACATTGGGAATACTGGAATAGTGGAGTGAGAAAGTAGTTAGCAAGTATCACTGTGAAGAACATCATGTGGTTTGGCACTGCTCACTCTTCAGGTGGTGGAGGAGTAGCAGGGAGTGGGGCAGAGTCAGGGCTGGAAGATGAAGAACCCAATGTGGTGTGACAAGGATATTATTGTTCCCATAATGCCCCATGCTGCCATCTCATCTGTCAGATGCATGGTTTTTGCTTTACTCCCTTTTGTTTTTGCTTATATTTTTGTATCTCAGTATCAGAGAGAGAAAAAAAAAGCTTTTATGGTAAATTTTGAAAGTGAAAAAATACATAAATTAACATAACATATTGTAAGTTTACATATATGTTAAAAATATAAGTATAAAAATATATGAAACATTTTATATATTTTATATTTATAAATTATATTTTATAATATATATTTGTATAATATTTATATATTTTACATATAAATGTATACATATATTTTACATTATTAGGATTGCATTCTGCTTAGTTTTATATCATAATTTTCCCATTTTATTTATTTGTGAAAAACACAAAATAAATACTTAGGGAGTGGAGCACAGGCACTGTGCTGGTTGTTTGGGATTCAACTATGAATAAGATAGGCATTGTCTCTGTACTTATGGAAATCACAGTAAGGCCTTATTGTGAACATTTGTGCAATCACTAGAGATTGGTTTGAAAATATAACTTTAGTGGACATCATTCAAATAGGCTGAGGAGGAGTCTGAGACCTGTTTCATGCTGGAGAGAAGAATGGTCAGATTTTCCCCAAGGACTAGGGCAAGACAGACTGGAGGCAGGTCAACCTGGAGACAGAGTAACGTAGTAGTGATTGAATTCCTGTGGGAAAATGGCAAGGCTTTGAACGAAGGTAAAGGCTATAGGGATTGGAAAGAAAAACCTGAGTTGAGACTATCACTGAAGTTCATTTATTTATTTTTAAAACTTTATTTATTCATTTTGAGAGAGAGAGAGGGAGAGGGCGGGGGAAGGACAGAGAGAGAGGGAGAGAGAAAAGCCCAAGAAGGCTCCACGCTGTCAGCACAGAGCCCAATGTGGGGCTCGATCCCATGAATCGAGAGATCATGACCTGAGCTGAAACCAAGAGTCACATGTTTAACCAACTGAGTCACCCAGGTGCCCCTCACTGAAGTCTGAATACCAGCAGTCGTTAAGCAACTGAGTGGGTTGGGGGATGCTAGAGATGGAGAAGAGGGTGGTGGTGCCACTTTTTCTGTCCTAGTTGGGATGTTCCTTTGTTCCCCTCATGTCCTGGAGAGTCTCAATGAGAGTGGTGTCTCTGAGCTGGCCTGTTTTGGGAAGTTGCTACTTCTCAGTGTCTGGCATTTTTGCCTTCCTTTTAGCCACGGTGTGCTATTTTGTCTTTTCTTCCAAAACCTTTTGTTTCCCTTATTTCTTGGGATTATCTTTTAATTCAGGCCACAGTATCCATCATTTTCTACCGCCTTTCTACTCTACTTGTCAGTGAACCTTTTTGGTTTGTTTGTTTGACGAATTATTGTAAAGAGAAAATGCAGAGCAAAACTCACAGGTCTGATTAAATTACACAAATTAAAGAAATATGACATTTTTTATAGTTTGATTTTTGGATGTTGATATTGCTGTTTTCTTTTTAAATTCCAAAATGTGTGTGAATTCACCTATTCTCTTTATTCCTTAGCCCTATCCTCAGTTTCACTCTACAACTTCTGCATTTTCCTTCAGATTCTTTTCTTTCAAAATAATTGCTCTCCTGCTCAAAACTCCAGGTACAGGGGTAGAAGAATAAGATTTTAGAGAACTCCTTTTCCCAATAGGTTACTTTCCATTTGAAGGGCAAACTAGAATGAATGACTCATATATATGATGAGGGAGTCTTCCATCATTCATTCATTCATTCATTCATTCATTCATTTAACAAATATTATTGAACACCTGTTATGTACCAGACACTGGGAATACAGAAATGCATAAAAAAGACAGAATCCTGACCTCATGGATAACAATAAAATATAAATTAAACATATAAGGTGGTATATGGGGAAAAGTGTTAGCAAAACAAATAAATAAATAAAAAAAATAGAAAAAGAAGAAAAGAAAAGAAAGGAAAGGAAAAGACCTATGAGTTTGTGAGGAGGACTGAAATTGCTTGTAGACCAAAGGACCTTCTGGGCATTTTCTTTAACCTCACTTTGACATTTCTTGTTCCACCATGGCAGTCAAACTCTGCTTAAGAGCATGAGGTTCATTAACTTAAGGCCTGACTGACCCACTGTACTTAGATACTGGATTTTTAATCCTCCAAATCCCTGCCAGTGTAAACTTTGAAGAGAAGCTTTGTACAGAGAGAGGGTGGAGGGATTTCACAAGCCTAAAGTGTGCTGAAATGCTAAAGAGGGTACAAGGCCTCATTGTATTGCACTCAATGCCTTCTTCCCTCCAAACATACTGCTATTGAAATTGTCCCAGATGTCTTAATAATGAAAATGTCTTCCCAGTGCCAGGTTAGTATTCAAAGTTAATATCTAGCATCTCAGGAACAATACTGCAGCATTGATGCTGGAGTGTCAAACTGCTCAAAAAGTCATTTTTAAATGATCTCTGATAAAGCTCTGCTTAACTTCTGAGGATAGTATTACAGCATTTACAAAATAGAGGCCCAGATCAAACTGTCTACCCAAAGACAAGATGGCAGCATGTGGAACTGCGATCCATTTATTCTTTGATTACAACATTTGGGGGCAGGGAACATTTCCTATAGAGATCTTTGTCTTAGAAAGTGGATCTACTAACATTTAGAATCCTTTTGTGGGATGTCATGATCTGTCTGGTGATAAATAACTGATTTCCTTTTTTATGACTCTAAAACTTCTGATGGACCAAAGGCCATGACCTTTGGCTTTGTCTCCACATCTTGGCCACATCTTGTAGCAGTCCTGCAGCTTGGCCATTTCTAAAGCTGAAACTAACAGGTTGTTTGAAAAGTCACTGGGACTAGCCTCCATCTTGATGCTGACCTTGCTGCTGAGGGAAATTTGCCCTTTTGCTCTTCAGTCTTGTAGAATAATTTTCCATAAGAGTTTTTATGTCTCACTGCTGTTGCTGGAACACTCATGGTAGCCTCTGGCTGTGATTTAAGAGAGAAAAAATTAGGTGTATGCTAGCATCTATGATCTTTTTACACCATTTCTTCAAATATTAAAACCAGAGGAATAAAAAGAAAAACTGTTGTGAATAAGTTTTCTTTAGTTTTCAACCTTTATATTCTTTTTTTTTCTCAGCCATGTTTACTTGAATTCTACCTGTGGATTCACTAGGACCAGATAATATATAATTGGGGGTGATTACATGTCCCATTTTCCAAGGGCGTTCCTGGTTTATCCTGCTGTCCTGGTGTGATTATTGGAACAACCCATTCTTGGTTTGTAATTTGAATTTACATGGTCACCATATAGATCAGGAGCTCTAGTACATCTCACTGTCCACATCAGATCTTAACTCTACTAATGTCTATTTTATGCACCCTTGTGCCTAAGCCCAGTCTCTATAATATGTTTTGGTAGATTTGTCTCTTTACGATGAGAGCCTTGGTCTGTTCTTGTTGGAGCATCCCCAGAGTTGGTAGTCCTATCTTCTGGGCCCTTCTCACTGGCTGATGGGGCCCTGCTACCTGTTGAGCCATTTACCTTGTCTATTCTTGGTGCCCATTACCTGAATCTCCACCAGTTGCTTCTTTTGGATTCACTTTCTGGCCACACCCACTTACCTTCTAGGGTTGTCAAGAACATTAAGTGACATAATGTATATGTTATGTCTGATCACATATACACACCACACCTACCCCTCAAACATAACATCTCTGTTATCTGTTTGCACAACCCATCCGCTGGTCTGGATGTCACCATCTGTACTTAGCTCTGGTACACACAACAGCTGCACTTGGTGGAAGGGTATGCTTCTATATCTTAGCTCTTTACAGGCTGTCCCATCCTGCTTTTATGGTGCAGTGGTTCACACATGGCTGTGTTTAGAAACAGGAGACCAGGAAAATGCCTGGGTAGATGGGAAATAGTGGAGCAAGTAATATCTATCCAATGGTGGTGACAGGAACCAAAGTCACAGAAAGAACTTCAGTGCTCCTGGCTCATGCTCCCCTCCACCTCATGCCCTACCCCTGGCAGATTTCCATGGCTGTTCCTATCCTATGTATAGCTCCGTTTTAGGCCCACTCTCTTTCTTAGAAT